TTACACAAGCTCAGGCCCCGTTTGGCAGTGAATTGGAGCTGTGTTTGATCGCAATTGTTTTGCTGAAATGTGTCCTGATTGCAATGAGTTTGCTCCCAATGGCAAATGCGGGTCCCTACATACTTATAGGATTGATCACAATCCAAACATGACAAACCAGGTCCAATAATGCTACTCAACTAAATAAAACTCAAAAGCAACGATAAAGCCAAATACAAGATATACCAAGAACAGAAACAAGTTCAACAAAATTTCAGAGGATTAAAAGAAAAAAAAAAGCAGATAAAGAAGATGTGAGAAGAAAACATCCAATGAAAACTGACGATAAATTTACCACAGGATTGACATTTGAAACCCCTCGTCCTTGACCTGAAGCCAAGAAAATCTCATTCCAACGCGGCTGATAATCTCCCAAATAGTTTCTAATTTCACTCGGACGCATAAACCAAACGACTTTCACTTTCTTAGCGTGATCTGGACCCTCATACATCTTCACTAGCTTACCTATGGAAGCTTCGGGTTGTCCAAGGTAAAAGTAAACACAATCATAAACAAAATACTCCTCACCCTCGTAAGTAAATGACTCGTAGAACAAAATGTCCCTGTTTTTGCCTCCAACGCCTTTCTCAACACCCCATTTGAACCCAAGGTTTTTTTCTTCTGAATTTTTCTCTTTGAGATGCGACATTGTGCGTTAATGAAAAACCAAAGCAAGAAGTTCAAAAAAAAAAAACAGAGAGAGAAAAAAAAGAAGCAAAATACGAAGAGACAGTAACCACCAAATTGTTGTGTATTTTTCAGTACATGAACACAATACTTACATGTTTACATTGTCATTATTCATGTAGAAAAAAATTAAAAACACACCAAAAAGAAATACTAAAATCACAAAAAGAGAAAGAAAAAACCTGCTACTGACATTACTATTACAGGGGAAAGAACAAACAAGTAAAACCCAAAAAGAATTCAAACTAAGAAAACGAGAAGGATTTTGGTTTGGTTTGTTTGGTCACTGAAAGGGTTTGTCCCAGAGAAAGGGAAGCTGGAAACTCGAAAGGCTCTAATGACAGTGACAAGTTTGTGTTTTCATGGAAAAAGGAAAACAACAGCAAAACTTTTTGCAACTGGGAAAACAAAAAATGGAGGCAGAGAAATTATACAGGTGCTGCGTTTTTATAGGTGATGGGCAACTGGGCGTGGGCTCATCTTGCGCCTCAACTGTTGGGTCCTGGGAGTCACCAGTTTAGCAGGAAATGGATTTCACGAGTCTTTTTTATTATATTTATTGATATAATTATTTATTTTATATTTAAATAATAAAATTATATTTTAATTGAATAATATTAAATATGTTAAAAATTAAATTACATTAACAATTTATTTTTAATTGTATCGTATCTTATAAAACTTATCTTAACATGTTTAATAAATTATTAATCATGTCATATTACATGATTCTTAAATATATTTATATATATGTTTTAAATTTTATAATGATTAATTAATAGTATCATATTCGTATTTATTTATATAATTATTAATATTATATGTTTATAGAATAAGATTAAACACAAAATTCGAATTTAATCAAGAAGAGGAGAAATCACTGCACTCAAATAAAACTAAAACCTAAAAGTGCATGTTACGCGTAATTACTGTGAAGGTTTTTTTTTTTTTCTATTTTTTGAAAAGGACATTGTAGGATTTAATTTTATTTGCATGAAGGCATATTTTTTTATGAATTTTATTTATAATTCTTTCAAATAATGAAGTTTTTTTAAATGGATAAAATTTAAGTAAAATTGTTTTTATATATTTATTTAGATTTTTTTTTAATGAGAGAATAAAAAGTTAACATGAGATTGATGCAAGGAAAAGTAATTAATTTGAAACATATAATTTTCTCTCACTGAAAAGAAAAAACATGAAAATTTGGCAGTTGAGCATAGCCTAACCTACCTATCTACAGTAATCTCCAACGCAGAAATTTCATTTGCTCTGAAAGTGCAGGCATATTTTGCCCTGAACTAACTGCATCCTCGTCAAGACTGCAAATGACCTTAGCTGTGTTTCTCAGGTTCACAAAGCAAACTGACCAAATCTTTAGCATTACTTATGCCAACCCTGTTTCTGTTTTCGGTTTGGAAACATGTGGTTTCTCGACTTGTCACTCTATCCAACCTTTCCAACATATCTATTCGAACAAAATATGTATCCCCACCTTTCAACATAAACCTACTGGAGAGCTCACTTGTCGTGTTCCTGTCCTATTCATCCATCTGCACAAACTGGATTGCCAGGATTTCCTCTTTTTTCTGTTCAGAGAAGACAGACACATACCAACTGGCTAAGCATCAAATTGCTAAAAAAGTAGAATGAAATCCAACGAATGTTAGTAGCACCTCATGTATCAGGTTCCGCCACTTATCTGACCGCTCTTGCATTAAACGCCAACTCCATAGCCATGTCATTTTCAAGAGTACTGTTAAGCTGGGCACAATGAGAGGTTGGCTCTGCTTTTCTCCTCGAAACCCAAAAAGAAAACAAAACAAAAGGCAGAAAAACGGTAGGAATGAATCAAATATAATGGTTAAGCATGGTGACTGAAGAAGCATCAATCACCATCTCTTCATGTTTCTCTGTTTGACGTTGGCAGCCATAACCAAGTGGCGATCACATGTAAACAGTTTTTCAGGCTTCTCTAGAGTCCCTCTTCTACCCACAACTGTTCTGGACATCAAAGAAACACAACTATGTCAATAGAATGTCAAAATACACTAAACTGAAAGTTTTCGGTATTTTGATGTACATTCCTGCTTTATGGGAACTGATTTTCTTTGATTCAGTAGGTGCTATATATGTATGAAGTATTTCCTATTGATGAGAACAAAATACTAGTATCCTTAATATTTGTTGACGATGGTCCTGATTTCTTAGTTTCAATTGCATTTTCCAAGCCCCCAATAACGAATTCTTGTAGTATATAACTATCATGAAGGTCCAAGATCAAAATGACATTTAAAAAGAATCTAGATTGCTAGACGAGAAGAATACATGCTACCTTCCATCTTCTTGAGTCAGGCATCTCTTTTTGAACTCATATATTGCAACCTCTACAGCAACTTGTGACTTAAATATATATAACCAGAGCTCGTCCTGGTGGGAACAATAACAAAATTGCATATCATTCATTCATCAAATCTGAAGGACAATAAACAGGAATGAGTAACAGGGCAGCTTGGGAGGCCATACCAGAGTGCGGGCTAGAAAAAGATTTTCATTGTCTCATCTCTGAGTAGGACAAAGGAAAATTATTAAACAAACACTCAATCGATAAGATCATAATAGTTTATAGTTGTGTCGTGAAGCATGCTTTTAAGTCAGTAACAAGTCCTAAGCTTGCTGGTCTGACGCAATTAAAGCAGAACATACTTCTTTCCGGTTGACAAACGGTGTAGCAGTTAATATGCAGTGTGAGACATTATAAGCCATTTGTTTAGCCCCAATTTGGAAATCCAAGATCCCTTTCCTTTTACTTATGTTATCTTTCACAAGGAAAATAATTTTCAAGCTACAAGTACAAGGGATCTGCTGTCTTTACTGGGTAGTCTATACATGCATGCATACATACATACATAATTGTTTTAATCAGTGGTTAACATATCTTACTCACCTTCAAACTTCAAAAGAAATCATGGAGAAAGTGCTTTTTGAATTATTTAAAAACTATGATATGTATTTACATTTGAAGACTCGAATCCTACAGTTAAACCCAAAAACAAAATGCAGAGGCACAGTCCACCTAAGGGTTCAGGAAATCGAAATATAAATGCGAGCAACTCAGAGAAATATAGCAGTAAAGTTCAAGGACTTCAGCAAATGTACCTCAACTTGTAATGAAGAGAATGATGCATCAAGATTTTCTAGCAAGGTAAGGGTGCTTCTTTCATTTGCTCTCTGCACTTTTCTTCCCAAGGCTGGTAAAAAGGTGGGAACTGAAATATTAAAAAAAGTTAATAATAATGACACAATCAAAGCTAAGGTACTATGTCAAACCCTTTAATAATATGCAGTGGTAGAGTAGAAAGGAAGTCCATAGCGCTATAAAGTGGTGACACTCACTAGTTCAATCCACCACACCACTTATAGTTCAAGAGTTTTTATTTGTTTATTTTTTGTTATTTAAGTCATATTTATAATTTATTCATGCAAACACATAGACATTTTTGTTGTGCTGTTTTTATAAAAATAGTTACTAATTTTTTTTTTATTCTTGTGTTATTTAAAGAGATAGATGAGAAACAAAAAGTGAAAATTTTAATGGTATGGACTTCTTTATAAGGAGAGTTAGAAATAAAAAAAATTAAATACTATAATTTAATTTACATTTTTAAAAGATAATAAATACAATAAATTGGAGTATGTATGAGAAGAAATATAAAGGGAACTAGGGATTAAATTTTTGGGTCTCAATTTTAACTCTCAGTCCTTTGGATCTCAACTTCTCTTCACAATAGTTCGAATCTGTGTTATTATAAATAATAATATATTTATATTGATATTAATTGAAGACATTAAAATCCCTTTATCATAGTAAAAGCTTTGTGATTGACATAGTATTAAATGAAGGACTATGATTATTTCCAAAATCTCTCTTATGAAATCATTTATGGCTCACAACATTAAAAAGTCCACTACAATGCAACTTCCATATTTTTTTCATGTTTCCATTTCAAGCTCTCTCCACTGATCACCTTCATTTTCTCCTTTTTATGTTTTAACCATAATCCATCAGTCTATTTCTCTTTCTGTTTTGGCCCATTTTATGGTTGAATTGATCATTCTTCTACTTAAGATGGTACTCTTCTTTACTTACTTTTATTTAAAGCATTCTAATGTCTTAATTGATCATCAATATGTGAGCTATGACAGTCACACTTGAGTTGGATTAAATCTCAAAAGGGTTCAAACTTCTTGTTGTAAACATAACTATCTTTGAATTTTGACAAAATGCTCAAATGCATTCTTTGCTAATTTGATAAATGTACAATTATATGCCATTTTCCACTCCTTTTAAGTGGCAAATAACAAGAACTGTTGAAACAAGCATCAGTAATTTAAGCCTTGACAAACAAAAATCAGATGAAAATAAAAAAAAAAACAGGTGAGAGCTCTACAAACACCCCAGAGAATTAGGGTTAGGGTAAGGCTCAGAACACATCAAAATTACCCAAAAGAAGAGGTTGAATTTATATCTTCATTTCGGGGAAAACTGCTTGAAAGGAGAAAAAAGGGGAAGGAAAAATAAAGATAGAAAGCCCTACAAGAGATAAGAACCCTATTTATGTAAGTTAAAAAGAAGTGTCCTATTGCCTATGCAATTCTGGTTTGGGTAGCAATCTGCTTATGAAAGGTGAAATAGCTGCAAGTAAAGCCTTGGGGCATTCCTCATGCGGAAGATGGCCACACCCAGATATTGCGACCAGTCTCTGCACGGCAACAAATGTAGCAACATTAGATCATTGACAAAGGAGGGAAACTAATTTCTCTTCCTACAACAGCAAGATTGTCCGTTGTAAACAAGATATTCAAAGTACTCAGGCAAGTCCAGTTTGACATATTGCAACAAAAGCCCATTCTTTCAAGATAAGAATGCTGTACACAATCAACAGAGGAATTTAAGTAGAGTTGCTGTGTGCCAGTTCTTTCTATTTCTTGAAGAATAACATTCAGAATAAAGTGTGATCCCAAGATAATAATTAACCATCCTCATTTATTAAAACTTAAAAGAACAGACAATGCAAACAAAAACAGATTACTTACAGAATTTACAAGTTTTGAAGCCATGGCCTGGGAAGATTTAAGAGATATAAGGGCATCTTCTGCACCAGCAATGACCAATATTGGCATCTCTTCAACTGCTTTCAGCAGTGATGTTGCATTTTGTGGTGAGAGTATTGTTTCATATGACAACCTGCCTATCTCATGAAGTGCTTCATCCCAACCCTCAACACATAGTGGGGCCTGCTTTCAGCAAGATCAGATCAATCAAATGGGTCAACAAAAAAAAGTTTCAAAGCTAGTACAGCTCTAATGCAATTTCAGAAGCTTATATAAAAAAAATAAATAATGACTCTTATAAAATGATTTGATTGAGTATGCTATGCAGAAAGATTATAAAAAATGTGAACAAAAACTCAAAATAATCTAGTTGCACGTTGTTTCATATGCTAAAAAAAATGTAGAGTTGCAGCAACATGGATGGAAATTGCTCCTTTCTCCTTTTTTTTTCCTCCAAATTGCGAGATTCTGTTAGCCACCTACTGGGACTCACTAAAATCAGTCTTTTCAAATGCAAAAATTGACTTTCCTCCATGTTATCACAGTGAATGCGTGAACTAACCCTGGGTCTCTTTTTTTTTGGTCTAAAGTTTCCTTCCCTTAAAGAAACCCTCATTCATTTTGCAACATAAAACATAGTTCCAAGGCACCTACACATCTGCACTCAATATAATGCATTACAATTGAGACTCCAATGCACTGATTCTGTGTTTATCTTCTCTAAATTTCTCCCCCTTCACTAAGTTTATATTTCCCTGCACAATTTTACTGACTAGAAAAGAAATCTTTTCGGGAAAATGGAAAAATCCTTAATGAAGCTACTGTTCCTTGGCAGGTAGTCAACAATATTTATGCCTTTGTAAGGTTAATCATGATACCGCTTGATCAAGATAAAACACATTGACACTCTCATAAGCAAGATAAATTATTCTATGCTTTAATCTTGCAGCAAATATACCTTATAGAGGCTCAATACTTCTGTTGTTAACTTGGTTGCATCATACCATGCACGTCGATTCACCACTTGTGTAATTTCTGTTCGCAGAAGTGGACGAACCAAGTGCTTCTTCCCAAGTGAAGTGCGCAAGAGTATGCTTGCAAAGGCAGGGACAACTTCTCTTGACAAGCTAACACTTAGCAATACCACTGCTTTGATTGTAATCTGAGTAAACCAACAAATAAAATAAAGGATAGATGGTAAGAAACAAGCTCAAAGGTTTTAAGCAATTCTTACTGACCTTGTTTTAAGTGGGTCATCCATCATTTAATTGATCAGAGAATGATCATCCAATTTATAAAGTTTACAATTTGGAATTTCACTCCAGTACACAACTACTAAATAGTGAATAACTACCTCAAATCTGATATGAAATATTCTAAGTAGTAAAATCTACAAATAAAAATGTTCAGACATCAGGAACCAGTCAATTGAAATATTAAAGCAGACATGAATATATAACTCCCACCAGCTGTATTCTTCTTAATTTAATAATCTTTTAATTCTGCTACATTCCAATAAGTTAAACGCAAAACTAAAATTCTTCAGACATCAGGAGCCAGTCAATTGAAACAGGAAAGCTGACATGAATAAATAAATAAGCACCTCCCTCTAGGTGTTTTCATCTTAATATAATAATTCTTTTATTCTGCTATATTCTCCAAGTAAATTGCCATTCCTTTCAGTGACAAAAATTCCACTTTACTTTAAATTACCAAAGTTTAATTCTCCATTTTTCATTCGGACTTCTTCAACAAACATTTAAAATTTCAGTTACATAGGTGATGTTACCTACTTGATTTAAGATTGACAGTAGAAAGGTCAAATATGCAAAATGACCCTTCTGGTAAAGCTTGTGGAGAAAATGTGAGATTCCCTAAAAATGTCCAAAACTACTAAACCAAAGTCACTTTTCCAAATTATTTTTCCAGGTTCAATGTTAATGGAATTTCCTATTTGTATATGTGACAATCAACTGTCTATGACAAAACATAGTTTATCATAGGCAGCCCGGAGATTTTCCTTGTTTCACCACTTAAAGTAGGTATACAACAGTAAGAGCACCAATAATTGGGAGTGTCAGTATAGCATAACACCAGGATACCAAATATAACTCAAGATACAATTTGTTGCCTTAAACATCCAAATTGGTAAAGATAAATCATGAGAGCTTACTCACATTAAAAGAATTCATCGAGGCTTGAACTTTTTGTACTGCCTTCAAAGCAAGCAGGCCTCCATCATCATGACCAACAAACACCACTGAAGAAAACCCCATCTCAGAGCAAAAGGAAAGAAGCAAGTCAACCTGAAACATATGACTGATTAAGTTAAAAAGCTGAAAAATGAAAAATACAAAATGATCCCAGCAAGGAAAGCCCATAAAAACTCAAGAAAGGACTGCAGATCAATAAACTACAAGAGGCCTAAAGCATTCAGAACTGCTTATAAGCCACATTGTAATTCATCCTGCCTGCCACAGAAAGATATCACTCCTAAACAATCAAATACATCCAAAAGAGTGCCAAACCTAACCTGAGTTTCAAGCTTGTAAGGATTGGGCAACTCTTTTCCCTCCCAGTCTTTCCGGCTTGGCCTAGAAGTCAATCCCCAACCAGGCCGATCAAAAGCAGCCACTGCACAACCAACCTGGCGAGCAAGAACTCCCATTACATGCCTCCAAGAAAAGACTCCCCCTCCAAACCCATGCACTAAGACAATACCAAACTGGCCATTTGCTTCTATGTCTTGCTCTAGAGTCCCAGAGTTCAAATGACTCATCTCAACCTTTGCAACTGTATCCTCAAGACTCAAAACAGGAATATCTTTAGAAAGAACAGGAGAGGTTGGGGAACCATCCAACAGTGGAGCATAAAGAGAAGAGCTGTGAAATTGATTGCTATAGCTCCTGTGAAGATGGTGATATTGTGTTTTCGGCAACACACTTAGCGCTTGCCTATCAAGCTTTAACTTTCCGGGAGCCACTTGTGGTGTGCTACAAAGATTAGGTTCTAGAAAGGTGGTAGATGACAAAGACCTCGGGGGTGAACCAGGAAAGCATAGCTTGTAATGAATGCTAAGCCCTTGCAATGTAATGAATAAGCTATCCATGTCAGCAAGTAACCTGACAGGGAGCTCTCCTTCATCACGAGATTGCCCAAATGGCTTTCGCCTTGTTTCACTATCACTTTTTGGAGTTTTCCCTGCAGAGGGAGTGGGAGATCGTGGAACCTTCTGGAAGCCAGAGAAAACATTTTTGCATGAAAGAACCTGCAATAACATGAATGTCACTGCCAAAAAGAAACACAAAACTCCTACTATGCAATGAAAAGCTAAGAAAGCTAAGCTATAAAGAGCTCTGCAATTAAATTACTTTACCCTATGGCAGACTACTGAACAATATTTCATGAAATGAAAAAAGCATTAAACTGTTTATCAAAAAAAAAAGAAAAAAAGAAACAATAAAGTTTAAAAATGAACACCTAAAACCACATTGAATTTCAGTTTCTTTCCCAGTAAACATGTAAAAAGAAAATCTTACTTCATAAAAGAAATGTTACTCCGCAATGATAGAGTGTTTCTTACAAGCAACAAATACTTATAATCCACTTAGTTATTACTTTTTTTCTTGATTTTGTCTATTTAATTTTTGCTTTTAAAAAAGTTGCAAGAAAATAAAAGAAAATGATAGGAAGCAAAATCATAATTGATTAAAACTGATCAAACAACTAAAATGCAACATCAATTCTCGAATAGCCATTTCATAATTATGTAAAAAATCATACATTTTGTTCTTCAAAAGCATTAAAACTTAAACTTCGAATCTTTCAAAAAACAAATTATTTGCTAGCTTTTTGCTTCAAAATGAATGCAACACTAATTCTAACAAAATTATGCTAAATTAAGTACAATCATGTAATTTATTCTTTAAAAAAATTGCAATTTCAATTTATCTAATTGGATTTCGTTTTGTGAAACAAAAAAACCAAGTAGCAAAAGCATTAACCAAATGCTAAACTATAAAAACCAAAAATGAAAATGACCCAGAAAAGAAATGCCTGAAAACTTACTGCTTCAGGGTCAACTCGATGAAACAAAAGCTTCCTCCTTGCTCTACAACTTGTTCTATAAGCAACTACAGTGTGACCAAGCGCAAAAACTACTGACGAAAGAAACAAAACAGGCATCCCCCATGATTTCTTTAAGTGAAGCCTTTGCCTTGCCAGGGAAGAACCCGGCGATGCCTCTTCCTCTATTTGAGAATTCACCGTAAACACACACGCTTTAACCGAAAGTAGAAGAATCGAAGCGAATGAACATAAAGTAACCGTTCCTAAGTAAGGTCCATGGGATAATGCTGGACCATCACACATCGAATATACACCTGCCAATTATAACCAAAAACAAAAGTTACTAATATTTAAATAAATTTCTTTTTTTTTTAAAATTAAGAAAATTAAGAATTGAAATCGTACAGGTGATGATGATAGATCTGAGGATGGATACGAGAGGGATATCGGTTAAGGAGTTTTTGAAAGCGTAACGACGAAAGTGTTGGTTGAAACCGTAGCACGTCACGCACGTGAAGCTTGAGAGTAAAAGGAAAGGGACCATGATGTCGCCTATCGCCACCAGCAGCGGCAGAGACGAAGCTAGAAGCGAAGCCAACATCGCCACCATGAAGAACGCCGTCCGTACGATCCTTCTCCCTTTTTCCGCCACCATCCATGCTTTCATCACCATGATCGGAATCGAAATCGAAATCGAATCGGACGGCTGCTATATTATCTTCCAGATTTAAATG